GATCATTATGGGCTGAGAGGTTAAGTGTAAGACCATTGGGGGTAATGCCTGATGGGCTAATCTTGCATCTGCCCACAATCCCTGGGTGTTACAAGATGGCTTGGCTCAGGGACCACTTAGTGTAAGTGTTGGGCCCATAAAGTCAATGTGATGGGCTCAGGGGGTTCACTGAGCTTTCCAGTGAATTCGGTTAGGCCTTGTAACAAAGGTTGGGACGAACCCTTGTGGCTGATGTGTAGATCAATGCTTGGGTCCCACACCATACAAGGAAGCCCAATTGGGCAGCAGTTTGGAAGGCTAAGTGAGCACATATAGTTATTGGGCCTAAAGCCCATTTCGAACTGGGCTGATTTGATCAGTTAAATAAAGGGGCGAATCTGAGATTAGATTAGCAGATAGGATAGGATCTTACCCTATCCACTTAGAGAGTCTAAATTTGAATACAGATTCAGATCTGGAAACCTCCTGATAAGATTAGGAGAGGACTGATCTAATCTGCAGATAAGATAAGTGTCTCTCCTTATCTCTTAAAGGGAATTCAGGTCCAAATATGATTTGGATCAGCAACTCCTAATGGGATTAGGAGCTGATCCCTTTAAGGTTATAAAAGGAGAAGGGGGCGGCAGCTTTTAGAAAATCACATTCTCACTTTCAGAGCAAGAGATGCAGAAGAGAGAACATAGCACCACTGCGCTATTTTCTCCCTGCCGCCTCCTTCCTGCTGCCGCCATAACTGCCAGTTCGATCTCCTCTTTCAAGCAGGAACGTTCAAGATTGGATATTGATATCAGCCTTTGGAGAAAGGCTTATCTGAAGTTGTGCTCATAGCCTCCAGCGAATTCTTGTGAAGGGTTCGATTCGTTAGACGAACATTGCTGATTCTGCTCCATCCTACACTGCGCCATCTTCAGTGGGAGCAGTTTTTGGTTCCTTCCTTGGGCGTGAACACCTCCATTGGGAGATACTATTTCTCCGTATCAGGTATATCCCTCTCCTACTTCTGGTTTCATCCAAGCCTTGTCCCAACTATATGGGGTCGGCTACATGAATCCCGTTTCACCGGTCCATTCTGTAAAATGGTGCATCCCCATCTAAACATAAAAGAGGACCATGCCAAAAACAGCAAACAGTTCAAACAACTCAATGATATTACATGGATAAAATTAGAAAGCAGCTCTAAACTCTGTGACTTTACTAGTGAGCTTCCTGAATTCCTCCTTGCAACTAAATAACTCAAAGTAACTGGAAATTACTGAAAGTTCATTACTGGAAATGGGTACTGAAACCAGTCACAGAAAACTCATCAGAAGCCAACTAAAATTGGTTTTGAGTGGGTTGCACCTCAAAAGAACCTTCCCCAAGGCCTCATACCACATACAAGGTTGGATAGTTCTTGTAGGTTCAGTTACATATCTGCAGGCTGCAGCGAATTAACTATGGGTAGATAATTTCTTTTTTAGGAAAGAATGTCAAGCATGTGGCGACTTTTTATACTTGGGAGGTTGTATGTATCATAATGTGAATTATGCAATAGATGTATTTGATATCAATTAAAGGATAGTAACTCCCATCAAAAGATTGACACATAACCAATCTAAAATTATTTCTTGATTCTGAGCATGAGTAATTGAAATTTACTGTTTGAATTACAAGTCAGGACTTTAGTGACAATACGTTTCAATTGTAGGAAGAGATGGAATCCTGGCTGAGGCCACATGGCTTCTTGATACAGGTCTTCTTCCAAATTCAAATTCTGCAACTCGAGCAATTGGCTATAGACAAGTATGTTGAAGATTATCTGAATGTTTATTTTGTTGGCTTTTTAGAAGCTATGTGCACTGAAATCATTCTTTTTCTGTTTTGTCATTGCATTTGATGACATAACTTCAATCTAAACCATTCAGAACTTATGTATGACTACACTATTGAATTCAGTATGTATTATCTATTTACATCAGGCTATGGAGTACCTAGTAAAGTGCAGGCAGCAACAGGGCCACAGCTCTGCTCAAGATTTCTATGCCTTTCTGTCAGAATTTCAGAAATCATCTAGGTAATGCATGCTCATCTACATTTGTTACATTTTACCAGATATTTCAGTCCTATTTGTGAATTTGAGAAGCACCTATTATAACAAGAAGAGAAACCAACTTCATAGTTATAGGGGAAGCTTCATTTTATTTTGGTATTAAACATCTTCAGATGATTGAGCATGTTTGACTTGGAATGAACAGTTGCACCCTGGGATAGAACCCAGTACTTAGCTGGAACACAGTAACTGCTTGATTCATTGATGCTGGTGATTTCTGGGCTGCTTTGGATTGAGAATCAGTGTAATGAAAGAGGTCTTCGTGGAATTTAGCGGAGGAGCTCTGGAGAGGGTGATTGGTTAGAGAAATGTCTGGTAGGGTGTTTCGTTAACTCTTAACCTGACGAGTTAGAGGTTCAGAGATGGGTTCGATCAGAGTGGAGCTTGAAAGAAGTTCAGGTGAGCAAACTAAATGCAGGTTTCTTTCTTTTTATTTTTTGCAGTAAGGAAGAGGCAGATGAAGTTTTGGGTCAAGAATCAGTTAGTTTTAGAATGCCTGATCTCAGGTTGGGTAGATGGAATCCAGTAGTAGGGCAATACGAGAAGTGGGGCATTGGAGTCTGGTTTGTATAAACATTTTCCGGATCCCCCTTCATGTCTGGAATCTGATTACGTTCTGTGCTGTGGGAAACACCTGTGGATATTTCAGAAGAATTGATGCTAGCACATACAAGTTGAAGAATCTGGTTGCATCAAGAATCCTGGTTGAAGCTGGTTCCTCTGAGTCTAGCGTTAAACTTCACTAGGGAGTGGTATGACTTGAGGGTGGTGATTGAAGGTTGCATACTGCTACGGTGACTTGAGGAGGACCTAGTGGTAATGCCGAATCGAATTCAGGACTTTGTTTGTCTTGAAGAGGAAAAGGGGGAGTTGCCGTTGTAGGATACCAGGAGTTTGAAGGAAGAAGACAATGGGAGGTGAAGAGACAGGGAGTTGGAGAGTCATGTGGAGGAGAAAGGAGATTCTGGAGAGGTGGGAGGGTAAGAAAGGAATTTTGGGGTAGGAGATGAAAGGGCATTAGCCGAGTAGGGACACCTGGCAGGAGGAGGCTTTAAGAAGAAGGTAGTTCCCGAAAAGGCTTTATGAACCTTTTTGAGATTGAACTTGGAGCAAAGAAGTGTGACCCATGTGGCTAACAGAGAATTGTCATTGACTATAGGTGTCCAAGTGACAACAAAGGGGCTATCATATTTTAAAGGCAAGGCTTTTGGAGTCAAATATTTAAAAGATCTTAAGAAGTATGGGGCCTGTGGCAAAAGTAAAAATGTGTTGGGAGATAAAGGCATATTGGGAACTCGAAAGGGGAGTTTTAAAAAGAGAAAAAAGAGGAAGTGGTGGTTGGCTGTTAGATTTCAGCGAAAGGGCCTTTCTTGGAGATTAGCATAGGTGAATCATTTTCGAAGGAGCTCTTCAATGGCAAGTTGGGTGAAGTAAGGTTAGATGCCCTACAACTTGATCCAATTGAAGGTCAACTTCCTGTTTCTTTGTTCTCTGAGTTGGGATAGGAGAGTAGGGATCTTGGAGATGGAGTCGGGAGAAGGGGATGTGGGTGGGGGTGGATTTGAGCTAAGCCGAGTTGAATATCTAGCTATTCAAGCTCGACTCACCAAAAACTGCGAGGCTCGAGCAAGATTCGAGCTAGAGATGTGAACTCAAATTTGGCTCGACTCAAAAGCTCATATAAGTTCAAGCTCGGCTTGGCTTGAGCTTGATTGCAAGCTAAATTTCCTATAAAAATAAAAAAAATTATACATATAAAAAATTATTTTTTTATTTTACATATAAAAAAATTAAAAATTAAAAAAACTAGTTATTATTATATATAATAAAAATATTATATATATAATATTTTTATTTATATATTTGTATATATATTTTATTTATATATTATTTTTTATATGTACAATACTATATATATATATATATAAAAGCTTGATGCTTGAAGCTCGGTTTAGATTGAGCTTTTCACGAGCCGAGCTCAAATAGCTCGTGAAAAGCTTGATTCGTGTCCACCCCAAGATGTGAGCAAGCTTAGGGTGTTGGCGGTTGAAAAGGGGGCGAACACGAGACCATGGAATGGGAGGTAGAAACTCACTTGAGGTTCAGCTTGAATGATGGGAGATTCACTAAAGGAATGAGACAGTGAACACGGAGAGTTGGTGAAAAGAAAAGAGCTTGTCTGCAACTTTTCCTTTCAATGAATGCATAACATGCTAGGGTGCGTTAATGGAACAGAACTCAGGGATTGTAGAGTGCTATTATTACCATGAATTTATAATTTATGACTTTTAGTTTAGTTTAATTTAATTCAGTAATCTTTGTTGTGCAAAAGAGAGAGAAGAATCGGTTGAGGAGATGATGATGAGACGAACCACAATAAAGGAAGAAGAAAGGTAGGTATTTCAATTTTGATGCATGGTCGTTAGTGTTAATACTTCTTTGTTATTTTCCTTCATAGAAACAGAGGAAGGAATGATCTTTCTTTCCATCTGCTTTCCTGGGTCTGGTCACAAGTTTACTGTTGCCACCGGTTGCTGGGGTCTGGTCACTGACTGGTTGAGGGGTTAGTCTGGATGAGAAAGAGACTGGGGAGGGGAAGTTCAAATGAGAGACAGAGATAAGAGAATGGATTTTGTTTTTGGGATTTGGGCTTTGTGATTTAGAGACGGTTCAATTGAGTGAACCGCCATTAGAGGCGTGAAACCATCAGTTTGGAATTCAAATTTATTTGGATTACGTGTTTATTCCTGATTAGAGGGTACATTCTCTCTGTGAACCCAAGGGTCCACTCAATGCGATCTCCATCCCTATATGCCATTCCCCTAGATAAGCTATCTGCCAATTTGTTTGCTGATCTTGGATCCAGAGGAATGAGGTGTTCACTCTTTCTGCCAAAAACCTAGGCCTAATGTGATGCAACAACTGCTAAGAACCCTTACCACCATCTCCCATTCATTCAATGACCACCTTTTGTTGCCCTCTCCTTGCACCTGAGAGCAACCAAGAGAACACATCAACCTCAGATTCTGAAGCAAGAATATAATCTCCACTCTGATGTAGTCCCCAGTACCTATGGCACCACAGTAAACCAATAAAATTTTGTTCTTATTATCTCCATGGTAAAATCTGCCCTTACTTCCCTTCACTGAGGGCAATCTTGTGCTTATGGCCTTGTAAGTCTCGGTGAAAAGTTGACAGACTTTTTTCATGTGATTTTTGCCAACCCTTCCCTTTTTTCTGGTTGCTCTTCAATATCTTTCAAAGCTATTCAGATATTCATCTTTCTTTCACATCTCCACTGTTTTGTTTTTATTTAATTCTTCTAAAAGGGGCAAACATATGCCCCATGTCAGCGCTGTGCATGTTCCACCAATGCTTGCCTATGTAAGCAGCCATGTGAACCAAATAAAATATTTTGATACAAATTGATACATGGCCTTCATGAAAAGGGATATATCACTGATTTATCATAAAAAACTGTATAGCTGGTTGAAAATATTGTCCTTTTGGGAAATATTGAAGAATGATTTGAGAAACTGTGAAAATTTTTGAAGAACCCTCATGAAATGTTAAAATAAGAATGATTATGCACTCATATTAAAAATCTTATGAAACATATCTCTTTATAACCAAATAAAACTTGGGAATAAATTAGTCATACTGTGCACATTACCGAAAATGTAACAAATGTTGGGGGTGTTTTAAACCATAGGTTCCTCATAAGTGATAACTATTCATGACTAGTGAGAAGTAGTATTCCTGGCTAGGGAATTGGGAGTTGGGCATCTTTAATATTGGACCTATGGTAGCAGTGAAGGCAATCCAGGTCCATCTTGCATAGGAGTTTTCAGCAATGAGGAGGAAAGCATCATTGCACTCTACTCAGGTCTAATTGGAGTTGGGGACTCATTCAAAGCTGAAACTATGGCTGTTATGGAAGGGATTCAAAAGGCTAAAGATCTGAATATCAGGAAGTTGTTAACTGAAGGTGACTCTAAGCTTGTAATTAGCTGGCCCCAGCAAGAGGAGGAAGATGGATGGTGGTGCTACATTTTTGAGAAGAGGAAAGCGGTTAAATTGCTACAAGGGGTAGAGCTGACTTGTAATTGGGTCAAAAGAGATGCACATGCTTTTGCTCATACACTTGCTAAACAAGGGGTGGGAAGGAATAACTTAGTTTGGGTCGTATTGTAATTTTCTGTTGGGGAGGGCTAAGAGTGTTTCTCCCTCCCGTAATTGATTCTGTTGTTGATAAAAAAAAAAAAAACTATTCATGACTAGTGTGTTGATACATTTGATCTAATTTATTAGAATTCATCATATACACTTTGGGGTGTTTTTCAGGCTTACTGGTCTTCTTGAAACCTTAGGAAGATCAGATTGATTACATAGTGGCATCTGAACATGGTAAGTATTGTTGCTCATCTTCAAATAATTTGTAGATTTACTGGGACATTCAATGCAGATTTTCAAGATATCCTTATGGAGTAACATATATCTTCAAGGAAATATACTCAGATGCCATCAATTTGTCTGTGCACTGTTCTTTCAATTTCTTTCTCTGCATTTCTCTACTCAAGAGGTGCTCATGGTTTGGTTAACCAAACTGTGAGCACATATTTGAAACTGAACCGATTCAGTCGGTTTTTTAAAAATTCAAACCAAAATGGAACTGAATCAATCGGTTAACTGGTTGACCAGTTTGGTTTTTTGGTTTATACATGTGTGTGCTGGTCGGTTCAGTTAATTACAGATTTTTAATAGTATCTGGTTCATTTTTTTTTAAGTTTTCTGGTTTTTCATGAGCACCTGTACTCTACACCATAAGAAATTTAATTGCACCTTATGATAACATACTCCTTTCACTTTGTGTTGATTTTCTATGTTCTATGTCCTTGCCTCCTAATACTTGTAAAATTTGCACTTTTGATGATACACAAAAAAAGGCAATTGTGGGAAGGGGTTTCTTGTATAGTTATAGCTCTCTACCTATGGAGGAACTGGCCTTTAATGCTTTTTTTTTTAATTTTTTTATACATCCTATAATGTAACCTCTTTTCTATATAATGAGCTACAAGGTTACTTTTCTCTCATAAATAAATAAATAAGCAATTTTAGAGATTAACTGTCATTTATCAAAAGACATTCTAGATTAACTGTCGGCATGAACTTTTCTCACAGAAACTTTGCAAAGAGGCAAATAACATGGTTCCGTAATGAGCTTATTTATCACTGGCTTGATGCTTCACGCCCACTGGTATGTCATTTATATACAAATATCTACTTTTTTTTGCCCAAAACAACACTAAGATCACTGTAAATCTAGAGAAGTATCATCCTACTCATCCATCTATAGATGACTTTCATGCATATTTTTCAACTATTTATCTGCATAGAAAAGCATGCAGAAATTTTGATGCATTTAAGCATGTCTTTCCTAACTGAGATATGAAAGAAGATCTAATTTTAGGTTGTGTGTTGGGTGTGTGTATTTGCAATTACCCACACTCTCTCTCTCTCTCCCACCCCCATCCTGATCTCTGTCTGCTTTGTGGGATAAGGAGTTTGGTACTTGAGGGATGATTGCTAGTTAATACTCTTTTTTTTTTGTCAGTAACTTTTTTTTTAACTGTAATGTAAAGTATTTCAATAAATCCAGAAGGCCAATGAAGAACCCCTGTACAATGAGAAACTGAACAGAGGATATACAATTTGCTCCCTACAAAGGGTGAACCGCCAACCAAGAATGAGCCATCCCCAGAATTTTACGTAGGATTTCTTCCTTTGAAGCCTGAATCCCTTCAAACAGTCTCCTGTTTCTTTCACTCCACACAGCCCATAACACTGCTGAAGGAAGTATGCTCCATGCTACCTTTCCAGCTCTACTTAAACCTTCCAGATGCCATGCCTCAATGAAACCCTTCACTTCAGCTGGGAAGCACCATTTTACATCAACCACAACTACTATCCTTAACCAGATCCAATGAGTAAATTCACATTGAATCAGTAAGTGACCAGAAAACTCCACATTACCATTGCATAAGAGGCAATCCAAATCTGCCACCTGTAGACCTTTTCTGACTAGATTCTGCTTTGTTAGGATCTTGTCCAGCACTGCCCAGACAAAGAAGGCCAGTTTAGAAGGGACAGCTTTAATCCAAATCCTGTCACTTGGAAATGGTGTGGTCTCCTCCCTTGCTACAAATTTGAAAAATGATCTTACAGAAAAGCTCTCCGACTTCTCTAACTTCCACAATCTTTTGTCTTCCCGTAGACCAGACGTTTCTGAATCATATAGAATCTGGAGCAAGCTGATCAGTGACAGCACCTCCCAGTTGTTCAGGTTCCTTCTGAATTGGGGGTTCCATATGCAGTGTCCATTCTGTCTTTCCAAATACTCAGCTACAGTAGCACTCTTATTTGTGACTATTTCAAACAAATTAGGAAATAAAGTCATTAAAGGTCCTTCTTCACACCAGAGATCCTTCCAGAACAGAACCCTCTGGCCATTTCCCACTTTATACTTGATGCCCTTCAGAAACTGATGTTGTACTTTCTGAATTGCCTTCCAGTTTGAATAACCGTATGCTGATCTAACTTCTTCTGTCTCTCACTCCCTGCTACTAGACTCATATTTAGCCACAACTATCCTTCTCCACAAGCTGTTTGACTGCACATTGAATCTCCATAGCCATTCTCCAAGCAACGCAGTGTTCACATCTCTCACTGATCTGATCTCTAGGCCCCCATTTTCTATAGAGCTACAGATTTTCTTCCAGTTTACCAAGTGACGTTTTGATTCCTCCTTCCATCCTCTTCCACAAAAAGTTTCTCATTCTCTTTTCCGATGCTGCTGCCCACTTGGCTGGGGTTGGAAATAAAGATAAATAGAATACAGGAAGGGATGACAACACACTTTTAATTAGATTGACTTTTACTCCTTTGGACAAGTACTTAGTCTCCCAAGATGCTAATTTTCTATCTACCTTCTCCAGTATGGGCTCCCAGATGGCTTTGATTTGCAGTTTTCCTCCAAAGGCATGCCCGAATATTTGAAGGGTAGTTTTCCCACTTTACAGCCCCAGTCATCTGCCCACTCCTTCAGGTTTGTCACCTCCCCAACAGCCATCAATTCACTCTTCAAGATGTTAATTCGCAGACCTGTTACCACCTCAAACCATCTCAATATTGCCTTCACATTCCATAACTGATCCCAAGCTGCATCACAGAAGAAAAGGATGTCATCTGCAAATTGTAGTAGTGTTACCTCCTCTTCTCGACTGCCCACTTTGAAACCTTCTAATAGTCCTCCCATCCGTGCTCTCTCTACCATCTTATAGAGAGCTTCAGTCACACAAATGAATAAAAGCGGAGATAGAGGGTCCCAAACTAGCAGAAGGCCAAATTACATCAGATCACCAATCAAGCAAGAAAAAACAAAGAAAGAAACTCTTTCGCACAACAAGCTTACAAATTACAACTCCCCACCAAGCCCTGCTCTGCTTTTGCCAAAGAATCAGCCAGCATATTAAAGCTTTCCTTGGCATTCAGAGTGGTGCCTAGATTTAGCCTGCCTCACCTGTCATAAGCCTCCTTGGTACCCACCCTCATGGGGGTGGCTTTGACAGTCACCTAGGCATTCTGCTCTCCGAGAATTTCCATTACCCACTGGCCCAGAGAAACTTAGGGTTATGTTATCCCCATGATCGCTGGCAACTCCACCTACTCCAGAAGCTCTTGGGTTCCCAAGACAGAAACCATCAAAAATTTGGCTTGACTACTCCTGAAGGAGGGGACCACCTGCAACCCTCTTAACAGATCATTGAAGGAGACACCTTTAAAGTCTTCACACCGAACAACCCAATGAGCACTGAGCAGCCCTAATCTTTATTGGTCAAAAGCTTTCTCCACATTCCTATACTTTTCTTCGAAGATCCTTGCATTTCTTTCACCCCACAGATCCCATAGCACTGACCCAAAAGCTAGCTGTCATCCAAATCAGAATTTTTTGTTTCCTAATGCTCCTTTTTCACCAATCTGTTTTAAACAAATCAGCTACTTCAGCAGGTGCCATCCAAGTCTTTCCAAACAGCCCAAAAGCTAGTTGCCACAGCCTAGAGGTAATAGGAGCAATGAAATAGAAGATTAGTATTTCCCCCCACTCTTCCAACATGTAAAGAGACTGGGCCAAATGGGCCCTAGTATCTTTTATTATTATTTTTTTTTGATAGTTATCCCTAGTATCTTTTCTTGTAGTATGTTTTTGCTAGTTCTCTTTATGTTACCGCCTAGCTGGCCGCCCACTTAAGGGTATACTTGTAGTTATGCTAAGATTGAAGTTTAGTAAAAGGATTAGAGAAGGGAGGGAAGAGATATTCGAACTCTTTTTCTTCTTCCTCTTCTTTTCTCCATATTCTTTCTTTTGTGCTGCTCTTCTCTTCTTTTCTTCCTCTTTTCTCTCTAATTTTTCCAAGTTTACATCAGTTTTAGAGGACTGATTTACATCTCAACAAAAGATACACACAAGGAGAAAAAGCCCAGAACTTCCATCTTTGTTGAAATTTTTGATAGGATTTATAATTTGGTTGACAGGCTCCCAACAAAACATCTTCACTTAAGGAGAGATAGGGTTATACCAAACCTTCTTTATAGGAAAGGGTCTGTTTTCAGTGGGTGGGTCAAAAGTCTTAAAAAAAGCACAAGTTGCCCATTGTGGTCAGTACCCAAACCCTTTCATCATTCCCCACCAGAGATGGATTAACTTCCTGAAGTAGATCCAAAAGGGGAATTAGCTCGGTTGTTTCAGGGTCCATCAAAGGTCTTCTCAAACCCAAATCCCACACCAAACCATTTCCCCCCACAGTAACCATTTCAGCAATTGCCTTGTTTTCAAGGTTGACAGATTCTAGGGAAGATCTGACACAAGAAACTATTTACCCACCCAATATCTTCGTAAAACTTCACCTCTTGTCCAAACATTGTGCCATATCTTATGTGCTGCATATAGGTAAGGAGTAAAGCCAAAATTGACTTCCAAGGACTTCTTAAAGTTGCAATCCTAGCTGGCCTAGAGTCCCAACTATTTGGGTGCAACCCATAAGTTCTCCTAAATATCAAATGCAATAAAGCCGCTTTTCCCTTGCGAATCTCCAAAGCCACTTCCCTAACAAAGCCAAATTCCTATCCTGCTTCCCAGATCCTACCAACTTCTAACCCACCCAACTCCTTTGGTTTGCACACTTCTTCCTACCTTAAAAGATGACCACTCATATTCTCCTTTGGGTCCCATAAAAAGTTGTCAATTATTTTTTCAATCCTCATCGCAACTCTCACCAGGGCTTTAAAAACTGACATGAAATACACCGGAAGGTTGGACAAGGCAGACTTGATTAAAATGAGTCTCCCTCCTTTAGAAATATAATTCTGTTTCCAGTACTCTTGTTGGATAAGAGGGATAACTAGTTAAGGGATAGGTCTGTATTGGCTGATACGCTGCATTTTGCTAAGGGTCCAATATAAGGAACATATCAAATTCATATGTTCCATTTCTTTTCATCAGTATCGGGCTGATATGGGCCTGCATCAGACTGTTTTAGGTCTGTATTGGCCTATACAAGCCCGATACAGTTCAATACGCTATATGTATCGACCGATACAATGCAAATTTAATATACTTCTCTCATTTAGGCAACTTTTCATTTTCAAATTTAATTTCCCTTTTTCTCTCTCAATTTTAGTAACTTTCCTAATTCAAACTTAATTTACATCACCTTTAATTAAGTGTTACATTGAACAACGCATCACCTTCCTAATTAAGTGCTATATTTAATGACACATCATTAAAGGCATTATTTAAATTCCAAATTAAACTAAATAATACATTTAAGACTATTGAAGGCAAATTATCAAATTTGAATGTTACAAAATTTGTCTATTAAAAATCACAAGTAGGAGCTAAAGAGATTTGAACCCTAGTTGCTCATTTGTATTAACTACAAATCAATCACTACGCCATGCCCTTTGTGCTTGTCATGTTAACATGCATGTTAATTTTTAATTAAGCTCTCTTTTTAGTGTATGGTTGTCACTAAATTCTATTATTAGAATATATATATATATACTAATAAATATTAATATAAATTATATTGATTTTTAAAAATTAAGGTATATATATATATATATACACATTTTATGTCTTCCACCATTTTTCAATGGGTTACCCTTTGTGTCACGATATCCCACACTTTATATAAACCATTAAAATATGTTTTTTTAATTACCAAAATAATAAAGTATGTTTTTTATGTTTAAATAACTTATTTATAGTCATATAAAAATCATATTTATTGTTATTAATATGGTTTTTTAGGATTTATATGAGTTTCCTAGCGTATCTTGATTTTTTGTCGGTATCCAAAGTATTTTGATACGCATCTTAAAATTGCCTTTCCGATGCACCCTGCATTTCTGATACTTTGTACCTTGCTCTTGATGTTCATTATTTATTGTTTCTGTTAATGGTGCACTTGTAATTGCAAATCATGGCTGCTCACAAATAAAATATTTGTTAAATGGAAATCTCATGCAAAGTTTTTCTATGATAGTAAAAATAAGGAAAAAGATGTAAAACTGAGAGATAAGCCATTCTGAGGTGACACAAATATGTACATAAGTTAGATCTCCGTATGATTTATACTAAAGTCACAACTGCAAATTTTGAAATGATTTTGAATACATTTCTATAATTTATCCCTGGTTGACATTGGGCAGGCCTTGATATCCTAAATGATATAGGAATAGCTTGAAACTCATAAAATCAACTGGGTTCCTTCTATTGCTCAACATTGGAATCTTGCTTGTAGAACAGAACCAACAGATTCTTTTTTTTATTATCCATCACCAAATGCATTTACATTAGTTATCCTGCTTATGCCAAGCTTGATAATATATTTTTTTTTTGTTGCAGGAGAAAATTCTCAACTTTATATTTGATGCATACCATGACCAAACAGGAAATGTAGTGGTGCCTGAATCACTTAATTTTAAGAAAGATATATCCAGTCACAGGGAAATTTCTGAATTGAAGGCTTACCGCACTAAAAATAGGTAACAATTAGGGATACTTGTACTCCAGTTCTGATATTAGTTCAAAGTCACTCAATGGATTCTTGTGTTTTGTAGGCACTTCGTTAGGAGAGAAGATTGTTATGTTATTTTGGATTGGATAAGAAGAACACAAACAATGGAAGTTGTTCATTAAGTTGATTGTGCTTGGTTTTTGACCCCGAGGCATGAGACACAGTTGGGGTAGGGAGCTTAACCTACTTAAAATCAATTCGAATGTGAGCTTGTGAGGTATTATTGGTTTCTTCAGTACAGGTGAAGCTCACTGGCTTATCATTTAGTGGGTTTCAAGTGAGAAGATGAAAGCCTTCTTTTGCAGTGGCTGATGAAGGTTCTATTTCTGAGGTAGGCACCACAAGTTAGATTGGTTTTCTTGATGACATTTTGATGCAATCGGCAGGCCTTCCCTGATATAGAAGTCTAAATGTATTGGGATGGTAATGTTAAGTTGTATTTTATATAATTATCAAAAAAAATTGTATTCTAATTTCTACATTGGTTCAATTTAGGCAAAATCTATAGTGCATTCGATGAAAATTGCTGGAACGTGCCTCAAACATCAACAAACCAGTGATAAAGCAACCCGTCATAGTGAGATCTTTAATATTGTTAAAGTTTTTTGGTGGTAACTGGTAAGCACACCCTTTGGAACGCGAATGTACACATGAACCAATGAAATATATCATGTGATGTCTTTAACATAAATGGTTGAAATTTTTATATAACATGCAACAAACATTTGAAATGTACAATATTTAGGACTTTTCAATTATCTTTGATCATTATCGTTTTTTCAGTATTTGTTATAAAAGTTCAATTAAAACCCAAAAGGAGGAGCAAAATGGGAAGAATCCAAGCCTTAATGTTATAGTTTATTTATCCTTTTTTATTATAAATTATTCTCCAACTAGTACATCAGTATCATTAGAGAAAGGCTGCTCATCCAAGAGATCAGTCTTTTAAACACTGCCACTGCACTGTACTGAATTTTTATTGCTTGATCAATTAGAGCTTTGATCAACTTTCTGCAGCGATGATAGGGCTACGTGAAAAGGAGGGGTGGAATATGGTCCTTCCATTAAACCAGTCGCAAACTCGCAATGATTCTATAGGTTGCTTCGGTCATATGAATACCATCCCAGCTAGCATACAATGATGGGTGGTAGCAAACTTTTGCACTCGGATTGCCACACGGAACTGATGAGTTGTAATTATATGGACCTCCACCTCCACAACAAGCTAGAAGAGCCCCCTTTAGGAAACCTGCAACGATGTGAAACCTGTGAGAATGCTTGCACGCATGCAAATAGCAAATTTCTAAGAGAAACTTGGGGGCTTTGAGATTAAGGTTCGGTTTGGAAGGAGTACAAATACAAACATGTAGATTGCAAAGATTACACTTTGTATTATTTTGTATGTATTTGTACTGTTTATATATGTATTTACACTCCTTCCAAACTGAGCCTAAATTCTCTGTTTTTTCTTCTCATCTCCCATTTTATGTGTCATTCCATCGAGTGTTTATATATCAATCAATGTTTTCAACGAAACTGGGTCGGTTTCATTATATGGTAATCAAACTCAGTTGTTTATAATGAAACCGACTTGTTTCAAGTTAGTGATTTTTAATCCGTGGTTGAACCGTCCAATTAGACCAGTTGACCCATCACCAAGCCAGAATTTTAGATCCGTTTTATTACCAAATCGCTTATATGCAAGAAATTACTGATTTGGTCAAAAAGCCAGTGGCCCAGCTAACTGAACTGCTAAATCATTTGATCCTGTGAGCAGATCTTGGGTCAAATATTAATTCTCTTTTTAATCATTTTCATGATTGTTAAGAAATAATTCTTATTAATCACAATTATTGATTGAATGTATAATATTAAAAATATTTTTAATTTTTTTATAAATTTTATAATTTATTTTTAAATATTTATTAGTTAATTATGATATTATGGATTAACCCATCATAGATGATTGAGCATTGACTTGTCACTCAAGTGAAAAAACCATTCATCTCTAGATCAGCTTTAAAAATAATATTTTTGTATGTTTAGCAAAAGTGTTTTGGGATGAAATTTTACAGGTAGGTGTTTTGGGAGGTCTTGGGTCTGATGGTAGGGTCAGATCTAGTGGTTGAGGTGTAAGTAGGGGTTGATTGGGGCCATTGGATTGGTATCAGACATGTTTAACGGTGGATCTGAGGGCTCTTAGGGTAAATTTGGGTTTTTTGGGTTTTTGGGTGTTTTGGAGAGGTTGGAAGGGTCTGATCGGGTGTTTGGGGTGAATTGGAGGTTCAAGCAGTAGACCGAGCAAAAATCAGGTGTTGACAACAGGGTCTACATCAGGAGTATGCACCTTCGTAGGTGGGAACTTGATATCTTGAAAAAGCAAGAAGCAATCGGTTGTGGCTAGGTCAAGTATAGGGGATGAGTATAGATCCATGGCCCATTATGTCTTAGAACTACTTTGGGTTAGATCTCTATTGGGCGAGATTGGGGTGAAAGCAGAGGAGCCTATGATGCTATATTGTGACAACAGGCTGCAATCAACACTGTCCATAACCCAATCCAGCATGACAGAACAAAATACATTGAAGTTGATAGGCACTTCATAAGGGAGAGGGTAACCACCGGAGAAGTTTGTTTGCCTTATATCTCTTCAGAGTCATAGTTGGCGGATGTTCTCAATAAAGGAGTTGCAAAGAACAAACTTGAACATGATCTACGCAAATTGAGAATGCGTGACATTTACTCCCAACTTGAGGGGGAGTGTTGAAGTTTAGATGTTTTTTGTGATTATTTTAGAATAGTTGTGTTATGTTAGGATTTATATAAGTAGTAGGGACCATAACAGTTATGTGAGTCCAAATCTTATTATGTTTTTTAGTCCTATTCAAACTGTTATATTTTTTATTATAAATAACAAGTGAAGGGGTCGGACAAAACATAACTCTCTTAGCCTACTTCTCAAAATCTTTTCTTTTCTTCTTCTCTTTCTCTCTTCTTTCTCTCTTCAAGAAAACACTCTTTTCTTTTATATTTTTTAGTCCAGCAGATTTCTACTTCTTCTACCAATGGACCAAATATTGGCTCAATCCAATATAAATTCATTATGGATGGACTAGGTCCAATCCAATATGTCATATTGGTCCGTCCAGTCCATCCAAATTCAATGTCTTATTGGTCCGTCCAATCCATCCAAATAGATTTTGATTTGGATGGAGTCCAACCCAAAACCGGTCCATTGACACCCCTACTTACAGTTATCTTGGTAAAACTAGTAAATGTGCCTGTCCTTTGCATGTGACAATTTTTTTATGATGATAGATAGATAAAATTATTTCATATTTCTATGTTTATAAAAATAATTCTTATTTGTCACATTTATTTTTGTTTAATGTGATGAATATATGAAATTCGAGATGTGCCCAAATGTTTTCTACCATTTTTTGCATTTTAATACTGTGTTTTTATCTTTTTTTTTAATTTTTATTATTTAGTTGTGACATCAAGGGTTGACACATTTGACCCAAAAGATTGAATTGTTGACTCACCACCAAACAAAAAAATAAATCCATTTTTGGGTTGGTTTTAAATTTGTATTTTATTTCTATCATCAATAAAAACAATTATTCTTTGTGATGTAGGGATACTTGGTGGGCCTTAAATCGTGCCACATGACACCAGCCAAATCAAATCTCGGCCACACATCAACAGTTGCTTCCAACCACTCCTAAGGCGATGTTAGCTATAAAAGGGGGTGCTCATCTCAAGGTAAGCATATTTAGAATCCCAAGAGCATCAGTCTTGGCTATTAAGGACTAAGCTCTGAGTCGTCGTCTCTTGCCTGGTCTGACCCCTCTTAAGCGCTCAGTTAACTTGACCATCAGAGCCCCCGCCCCTGGGATAACACCTGGAGCCTCTGGCATGTACTCTTCTCTTGTATACAGATCGGACTTGTCGACCTCAGACACCAATGAAATCTCCTTGTTGCGCTCGGCCTCATATTTGGCAGCAACAATTGGCGTAGTCTGTGGAAACATTTTCAAGAATTCCCTTTAAAAACAACTTAACTTAATCAATCAAGTTTCTGACATGGCTGATAACCAAGACCACACTCATAGCGCTCAGAACCTAGTCACGATGAACCAATTCAAGCTAGCCCTTGACAGGCTGGATAACCTAGCCTAGAGGTTGGATGAGGTAGGGCATCCAATAAGAGGCTACCCATAGGGTGGTCGCTCATCGGAAGCCAAGGGAAATACAGTGGATGATCCACCCATGCACTACTGGGCCAGCACCCGATCGACCAAGGGAAGGCCAACCCCTCAACGTCAAACAATAGTAGCCGATGGGCCAGCAGGCCCCTGTCGAAGACCTCTTAGCTCCCCAGCTAGAGAGGTGAACCAATGGGGTTCCACAATAACAATAGGAACCACAATCGCCATCATCGCCACATGTAGAGAAACTGGGATAACGATGAGCACTCCAGCCACTACAATCCTCCTTCGAGGGTAGGAGGCCGACGCTATGCCTCTCCCCCACCAGTATCTGACCTTTTTGATCTCCTCAACGACCGCTGAGCTCGCAAGGCTCAGGATGTGCCTGCATTCGAGCACTCCGGGAATAGGGCCAACCCGTCCCACATGAAAGAGAACTTGGACAAGGTCCAGGTGCCTATAAACCGACATCTCAGTGACCTTCAGGCGCATATAGGCACCATCCAAGATTAGATTCAGCAAGTGAAGGAGGGCGGAGGTGATGCCTCCACTAGTCAAAACCTCTCATCTACCCAGATGGAGGCCTTCACTGACTCCATCACCTCAGATCCACTCCCACCAAACTTTAAGGCTCCCACTCTAGAGACCTACGATGGGAGCATAGATCCAGATGACCACTTGGAAAGCTTCCGAGCACTCATGCTCCTTTATAGGTACTCCGGTGCCCTGATGTTTCGAGCCTTCCAAGCACTTCAAGGGAGCTGCACGCAGATGGTTCTCTATGCTCCCCCCTCGGTCCATCAACTCCTGGGACCAGTTTGCAGATCTCTTCCTCTTCCACTTCGTCAACAACCAATGGTGTTAGAAGATCATCGTTTTCCTAATGTCCATCAAGCAGAAGCGTGGGGAAAGCCTTTGGGTGTACATGGACCGATTCAACCAGGAAGAGTTTGAAGTAAGGGATCTTGACCCCTCGGTCTCCATGCATGTGGCCATCAACGGCCTCCAGCCCGGACCCCTCAGTTGGTCCATGCCGAGGAAGAATACATGAATTCCACCCGGACACATACTCATGCAAATAGGGAAGGAGGAATACATGAAGTGGCCGGACAAGCTAAAGAGGAACCCTAAAAGAGGTAAACCCAAGAAGTACTGCAAGTACCACCGCAGCACCGGCCATGATACCGATGACTGCTATGAACTCAAGAATGAGATCAAGTCCCTCATCCACTACGGGCACCTGAAGGAGTACATTGGGGATGACGCCAATGCCTCGTCCTCACAACAACAACAATATGCCAGGCCTGAAGCCCATTACACCCTAGATGGAGTTATTGATGTCACCATTGGGGGCTCGACCTCGGGTGAAGCATCACCCTCGGCCCGGAAGGCATACACCAAGCAATACAACATACAAAGCCCAACGCTTAAAAGGCCGAGACCAAAGGACATCATCTCCATCTCCAACGACGATCTGCAAGGGTTCTTATTGCCCCATGACGATGCATTGGTGATGTCTATGATCATCACCAACTACATGGTGAAAAGAATCCTCATAGACAGCAGCTCCTCAGCCGACATCCTGTTCCATGATACATTTGAGAAGATGCAGTTGACGCAAGATCAATTGTAACCTGTGGACATGCCACTAGCCAGGTTCTTCGAAGTAGTCGTTAAGCTCGAAGAGAATATCACCCTACTAGTCACAGTAGGGGCTGAGCCTTAGCAAGTCACCCAGATGACTGAGCTCTTGGTCGTGAAGATAGACTCCCCATACAATGCTATCATAGGGAGATCAACCCTTCATGCACTCAAGGTGGCCATCTTGTCCTATCACGTCACCATGAAGTTCCCCGCTGAGCATGGTGTGGGAGTAGTCAGGGGGAATCAACAAGTTGTAGACAATGCTAAGTGGCAACACTAAAAGGCAAGAACAAATAAGCTTTACCGCTGGAAAGGCTTGACCTCTGGGAAGAACCAGCGAGCCGAGGCCAACTGGACGAGGACCTCATCTTGGTTCCCCCAGACGAGGTCGATCATGAGAAGACGGTATGATTTGGGTCACACATCCCTCAAGATACACTTTCCAAATTTGTAAGCTTCCTCAAAACTAATGCCAACGTCTTTACTTGGTCTACCGCTAACATGCTAGGAATTGACCCCTCGGTCATTACTCACAGGCTAAGTGTGGACTGGAACTGTAGGCCAGTTCGGCAAAAGAAGAGGAACTTTGCACCGGAGCATTGGAAAGCCATCGAAGAAGAGGTGTATAAGCTACTCGACGTTGGCTTCATCTGAGAGGTACACTATGCTAAATGGTTATCTAATGTGGTCATGGTTTATAAAGCTAATGGAAAATGGTGCATATGCATTGACTTTACAGATCTTAACAAGGCCTGCTCCAAAAACAACTTTCTTTTGGCGAGGATTGATCACCTCGTCAACACCACCACAGTGTACGAGTTGTTAAGCTTCATGGATGCTTTCTCTGGGTACAACCAAATCAAGATGCATCCTAGTGATGAAGAGAAGACCCCGTTCATCACCGAGCATGACACCTACTACTACTACAAGGTGATGCCTTTTGGATTGAAGAATGTCGGGGCCACCTACCAATGGCTGGTGAACAAGATATTCAATGATCATATGGGAAGCAACGTCGATGCCTACATTGAAGACATGGTAGTGAAGAGCCTAAAAGCTAGCTAGCACACTTCGGACCTTGATGGGACCTTTAGGGTGCTAAGAAAGTACAACATGAAGTTGAACCCTAACAAGTGTGCATTCGACGTCACCCCGGGCAAGTTTTTGGGTTTCTTGGTCACTCAACGAGGAATAGAGGCCAACATCGAAAAATTACAGGCCACACTTGACATGGAGCCCCCTTAGTCTATCAAGGAAACTCAGAGACTCACCAGCCGAATTACAACCCTCAATCGGTTCATGTCAAAGTCAGTTGACTGCTGCATACCTTTTTCTGAGCTATCAAGAAGCTAAAGGACTTATAGTGGACTGAAGAGTGCCTAAAAGCCTTTGAAGAGTTCAAGTCCTACCTCGCGTCGCCTCCTCTTCTCACGTGACCCCTCCCTGGGGATACCTTGTTCTTATACCTCTTGGCCAGGAATGAAATCGTCAGCTTAATTCTAGTACGAGAGGATGAAGGAATTTAGAGGCCGGTCTACTATGTCAGTAAGGTCCTCTGTCACGCTGGACTGTCACGGGTGAATCTCCCTTCAACTTGACATATGGAACTGAGGTTGTCATCCCTATAGAGGTTGGCTAACCGATACTTTGACCCAAGGCATATCAAGAAGCCGAAAATGATGAAGAGTTAAGGAACAACCTTGATCTATTGGAAGGAATCCAAGAGCAAGCTCAAATCAAGGTCACGACCTACAAGCAAATAGTTTCCAGACACTGTAACTCCCGGGTTAGAGAGCACCACTTCAAGTAAGGTGACCTTGTCCCCAGGAAGGTTATGGTGCTCGAGCCCAGCGCCAGAAATCTTGGCCCTAACTGGGAAGGGACCGACAGAGTCAAGCAAGTAGTCGGCCCCGACACCTTTCGGTTAGAGTACATGAGTGGAAGACCAATACCTCATACATGGAACTTCAAGAACCACCAGATGTATTTTCAATGAAATAAGCATGAATAATGAAAATTTTGTGAATAAAATGTGCAAGTTCCTCTCACCTCAGCTTGAGTTACCTTAGTGTAAACGTTCTCTTCTTATCCAATCGCCAAGACCCCTCGGCCAAACGATTAGCCGTAGCATACAACCTTCACTAAGGTTGTATGCTCGAACTGGATGTCATCCAAAGGTACATGACTCTTTGAGAGTCACATGCCTAGTCGCCATTTTAGTTAAGGCAAGAACTTCTAGGACCTTGGCCATGCTTAATGAATGGCCTATGACGTTGGCCTCGGCCTCAAAGACCCTCAAGAGAAGCGAATCTTTGTGTAGGCCAAAGAGTTGACATTGGCCCATTACTTAACACAAAACACGATAAACAAACACACTAAATGAATAACGCTACCCCATCAAGGAAAAGGCACTCAGTGACCTCGGTCGCTTACCATTCATCAGGCCTCAGCCACGCACGAGTCTGGTCTCTAAGTACCTAAGGAAAACACACTAGGTAGGCTAAGGCAATCGCTTCCCTTCGTTTTTGCTAAGGAAGAGGGTCTTGAAACCTCGGCGACAAGGCTCGGCCTTGGCCTAACAACTTTAAGGTGAGACACCTTCATGAGTAGCTAAGTCAAGAATTATGAGTTTCTTTGCAAAATATAACTCTTTGGGGGAAGCATTGGCCCTTGTGTGAGATAAAAGGAAAAAAGCGAGAAAAAGAAGGAAACGACACAATTTTGACAAAGAAAAAAACTTAATATGATCAAAAAGTTTGTATATTCACTTAGTAGGCTCATTCAATTCTCTTTACAAAAAGAGGCCCCTAATGGGGGAGACCAAGCCCCTTACAAAAAGTTAAACCAAAACTAAAGAAGAAGAAAACAAAAAAACTATCCAGAAGGAGCCTCGGCCCTACGCGAGCATCTTCACTCGACCTCAATGTCAACGGGTTCATCAGCCACATCCTGTTGCATAGGTTATTCAGCACTGCCTTGGCCCTTAGCTGGTCCTGCCACCTCGGCCGCTGGCTGGCTCGGAAGATGAGGGCCCAAGTAGCTAACATCGAAATTAGGGAAGAAAGCCAAGACCTGAGCCCGAGTGTCTTCAATCCCCTCCAAATAAGAAGAGGTGTCGAACTTGGCCAGCTCCTCCTTATGGACCTGGGGGAGACCTGGGTCCACGACTACCAATCCCCAATAAGAAGCACGGAGGTGATCAAGGCGCAACCGACACCTGTGTTGCTTAGCAAGTCGCCCTCACTGGCATTCTAGTTCGGGCAGAACACTCGACACGCCACTAGCGGGATGTCGTCTTGTTGGTCCAAGGAATGAGGCCCCGAATGCTGAGGTCCTCCTATAGCACCCTCGGCTTTGTGGTCCTCACTGCCACCTTCTTCGCCCTCAGGTCTTGAGGGGCATTGACCGGCCACTTGGGAGTGGCCGCCTTCCTCCTCTCAGCCTCAGCATTCCCCTTTGGCCGAGGTGGTTCCTCCTTTCTAGGCCTCAAGAAAGCACCTCGGTCGGGCCCTTCCTGGACTTGGCCATTGCCACTTGTAGGAGTCTCTCCTTCAAGCCGCCATCCATTTCGGCAACAAAGAAAGGCTATCAACATTAGAAAGTATGCAATGAACATTAAACAAACAACACAACTAGCCGACAGCAGGAGTGCCCATACCAAGGGGGGCAAGACTGAGACTAGCCCACACCAAGGCCTCCTCCAACACTAAGGGCCTAGCATGAATCGTCCCAGTGTTCCTCTCAACCAACGAGTCCAATGTTCCCCAATTAGACCAGAAGGACCATCCTTGTGGATGACTAATGAAGAAAAACTTCTTCTTCCAGTTGTGGACTGACGACGGGTTGTCTACTACCCTACCCCGTTGGCCTTGGAAGTACAATAGACATTGCCCGTTAGGATGCTTCCTTAATGTGAATAGACCCGAAAGAATTTCAGGGTCACAGACACATCTTGGAGGCGAGCCATCACCAACACAACCATAATGGTCCTAATGGCATTCAGAGCAAGCTGGCTAAGGGAAATGTTGTAGTAGTTAAGGATTTTTGGGACAAGAGGAGGCAAGGGAAAACGAAAGCTGAAGTGGAGGTAGCGCTCGTGCACACACACCTCCCCCTCGGTGGGCTACCATGACCTATCACCTACGTAGGGGACTCTAACCCTATAGCCCACCAAGATGTGATACATCTCAGACAAAGCCCTCACTTGCTTTTTGTCGAGCTCACTGTTGAAGTCAGAGCGGGGGTGACATAATGTCACACCTCGGCGTGCGGCTAGGGCCTGCTCCTCGAGTGTAGGCTCTTCAGCCTCCTCCGGCTCCACCACTTCAGAATGCACAAGGAAATTCCCTGTGGCATCGGCCCTCAGCCTCGTGGGGCCAGTACTTTCATCAGGAGAGTTTACACCCCATTGGTCATGCTCAGCTCCCCGTGGGGCGGTGCTCTCCCTCAATACCTGGGTATTGGACGTCCGAGAGGAGCTCTTGGAGCCACTGTTTCCGGTCCCACTACTAGCCGAGGTGGAAGGAGAATTGCTAAGGTCACTCTAGTAGGGAAGGGCATAGCACTCAGGTCCAGAGTCTGAGCCCGACATGTTGAAGACAGGAGTCCTTTACCTAAAGCGTGTTCGAAGGAAGAAAACTTAGGGAATCGGTTTTCAATAGCCAAGGTCTCTATAGTTGTTGATCAAGACTCAAGGTTTGAGAAAATGGTGAAGACTCGCCCAACCAACTTCCCTATTTAAAGGAAAACACATGACTCAAATCTCTTTGATCCAACAACCGTGGATTAGCCGACCCAGCAACCCAAACCGACGAGCTACATGTGGCATCTACCTTGGGAAGAAGAAATGATGTTGAAGGATGAGTCGGTTTGCCTAATAGCTCCGGGTCAAGAATGACCCAAACCGGACGCTCCTCTACACTACATATAGCCACGACCGATCAACACCGATTCTCGTCCTATGTACAGACCTTCACCGGATGACATAAACACCTGTACGAGGCATGGTTGATAAATGTGGACATCCCATACCCGTGCTGGCTATGGCCACGCATTCTCAGCCCATAACGATCCTCCACTGAGACGGAGGACGAGCAGAGAAGCAGTCGCCACAAAGCCGCTAAGGAGAACCCTCTTCAGCCGAGGCCGACGCCTCCAAGCAACTCTATAGTACCCTCTTTGGCCAAATTCGAGGTCTCCGCACAACACGCCATCCGACCTCGACCACCACAGCCTCGAGAGTGTGGGGCAAGTGATGTAGGGATACTTGGCGGGCCTCAGATTGCACCACGTGGAATCGGTTAGATCAAATCCTGACTACACATCACCATCTGTTTCCAACCACTCCTAAGGCAAGGTTAGCTATAAAATGGGGTGCTCATCTCAATGTAAGCATATTCAGAATCCCAAGAGAATAAAATTCTTGGCTATTAAGGACTAAGCTTTGAGCCCTCGTCTCTTGCCTAGTTCGACCCCTCTTAAGTGCTCGGCTAACATGATCGTTGGAGCCCCCGTCCCTAGGATAACACCTGGGGCCTTTGACGTGTACTCTTCTCTTGTTTACATATCAGACCTGTCGGCCTCGGACTAGTGAAATCTCCTTGTTGCCCTTGGCCTCATATTTTGCAGCAACACTTTGTCACACATTATTTTCTTTAATATGGTTTATTAATATAAAATATTAAAGATATGCACAAATGTTTTCTACATAATTTATATATTTTTGTGTTTTTATGTTTTTTTAACTTTTGTTATTTAGGTGTGACATCATGGGTTGACACATTTGACCTAAAAGGTTGAATTGTTGATCTACCACTAAATAGGAAAATAATTTTACTTTTGTGTTAGTATTAAATTTTTTATTTTATTCTCATCATCAATAAAAAGTTAAAAATCATTATTGTTTATCATATCTAGTTTCTCATATCATTAATATAAAATATTAGAGATATGTCTTAAATATTTTCTATAGAATTTCTATATCTTCATATTTTTTTGGGTAAATTACAAAGACCCCCCTTGTACTATGGGGTCAGTGACAAAGTCCCCCCTATACTTTTTTTTGCGACTAAGACCCCCTGAACTTTATTCGTTATACAAAGACCCCCTTTGCCGTTAAGTCAGATTATGGAAAGCGTTAATTTACCAAAATACCCCACTAAACTTTTTCTATATTCTTTTTCTTGCCCTTTTTCTCTTAAAACCTATTTAACCTATTGTTTTCCTTCTTTTTTGAGTTTCACTTCACATACCATGATGTAAAAAAAAACCACCACCAACCCATCTCTTCCATGTTTGTCTTCATCCTCACTTCATCTCCAACTGAACCACCAAGAGCAGGGGGTTCTTTGTCAAGATGAGGCTCTTGAACAAGCATAGAAAACACGATAAGAGCTTCTGCTACAGATATTTCAGATGGGTTCTATGGGTTCTCTTGAACAAGCACGGACTCCTAACTTCAATGGACAAGACAATGAACAGTATAAAAAGGGTAGTTTGGACATTTAAAAAAAATTAAACAGAACATTAACGGAAGGGAGTCTTTATCTAACGGCTAAAGTTCATGGGGATCTTTGTCGCAAAAAAAAAGTGCAGGGGGGACTTTGTCGCTGACCCCATAGTACAAGGGGGTCTTTGTAATTTACCCTATTTTTTTGTATATATATATATACAAGGGTTGACACATATAACTTAAAAGGCTGAATTGTTGATTCACCAGCAGGAAAACAATTTCATTTCTAAGTTGTTTTTAAATTTTATATTTTATTTCCAACATTAATAAAACAACTATTACTTATCACACTTATTTTTAATTGATATAATTAATATAAAATATTTGATAAGTTCCCAAATGTTTTTTTACAAATTTCTATACTATTACATAATATTTTTTCTTTTTTTATCTTTTTAATTTTTATTTAATTATGATATCAAGGGTTGATACATTTGACCCAAAAGGTTGATTTGTTAATCCACCATCACAAATTGGTTTTAAATGTATATCTCATTCCAGCATCAATAAGAATTATTATTGTTTATTACACTTATTTTTCTTTAATATGATGAATATAAAACATTAGATATGTGCCCATTTTTCTATATTTTATTTTTTGTATTTATTTCTATTTTAAAAGTTTTTTTATTTCATTATGACATCATGGATTGACCCATTTGACTCGAGTGGTTGAATTGCTTACTTGCCACAATGATGGAAGAATAGTTTCATTTCTAGGTCAATTTTAAATATCTTGTATTTAATATCATTAAAAGTATTGGATATGGATTTAATTAATAGAACGCATTGGTAAAAAATAGCTTAAACATAAGATTCAATGAAATAATGGGAGTTAATACCTTAAATGGAAGACTTAATGATAGGGAATTGAGTGAGGAGAAATGTAATAGTTGACATTACATTTTGTGCTCGTCTTATTCACGATGATAATTTGGGCCTGAGATGGTGAGGGAGAGCTATGTATGCTTGGGTTTTGGGGCAATGCGGGCTAAGTAATACCTTAAAGTTTGGAGTTAAAAAAAAGGGTATTCTAGTGAAAAATAGGATTGAATGAATGAATAATGAGAATTAATACCTTAAATATAAGATTTAATGAGAGGGATTTGAATGGAAAGAAAATGATTGTTCAAATTACATTTCTATCCTTACAATTAAAGAGTAACCAAATTAAAAAATTAGAGCATTTTAGTCAAACAAAAGTTTTACTCTTATTCACACTTTCAATAGTATATAGAAAGCTTTGAAAAAACTTATGATGTCAAAAAGATATGATACTGAAACAGTTTCACCAATCACAACTTCAGTTGATATTCATCAAAATTCACCCGAGGAGGTTGATTGTTTTTCCGATAGCATACCCTTGCAATGAGAACAACCAACATTAGAAATAAAAAATAATAATAATAATAAAATGGAAAGAAAAAGTTAAGTTTGGCACATAGAATATATGATTTACTTTTCTAATTAAAAAATTAGAAAAGTACGGATAGACCCAATGTAGATTTCTATTTCCACTACAAAGCTATAAACATTCAAAATGGCAACAACCCACACTCTATGCACCAACACCCACCCGTGAATTGGCATCAATTCCAATCTGGCACCTACCACAGCAATACTTTGCGCCTATAAATTCTGACCCTGGGCTGAACTGTCTTTCCCCCTTTCTTTTTTGTAATAAATATAGGCACCTACTACCTAGTACTTTCTTTGTTGGGGGTGTAATGCCTTACGCTACATTTTGGTTTGAAGAAAAAAATAGGGAAATGAAGGGAAATGTAGAGAAACATTTATAAACCTTATATAGGTTTTTCTATGTTTCCCTTTATTTCCCTACCTTTTCCTTCAAACCAAACATAGCCTTAAAAGTTTAGGCTTTTATTTTAATTGCTCGGATCTTGGATCTTATTTGAGTGGCTCATATTGTTTAGAAAATTTGGTCTTGCATCAGCCGTTCCATTCATCAACTTCAAATACCCAGTTTCAGGATTAGGGGCGACTTGGATCTCTTGTCAGTTATCCCCACTCTTGAGCATGTTTGGTACCATAGTTATTTATTTAATAAACATTTTTTTACAGCTAGACCATAGACACCATTAGACACCACATAAGCTGAATGCATATTAAATAAACCGCTGAGTGTTTATGGAAACATTAAAAATAATGTATCCTCAAAGATTGACTCTCATTCAAATTAAGAAAACACTTTTTCTTTTTTCTGAATAAAACCAGAGAGTACTACAACAAACGAGGGGTAGTGTAACCCCAGAAGTCAGCAAAACAAATAGAAAGAAGAGAAGGGGGAAGAGAAGAAAAGTTAAAAGAAAAAAACTCCGGAGTAGCAATCTGAGCTTCACGAGCTATCCATTCTGCAGCCTGGTTCGCTTCTCTGTAAACATGGCGAAAAATAAGTCTTCTAGTAAAGGTGTTCTTCATCCTAATGCAGCTCTTGATAGTGTTCCTCATCTTCCATGAGGACTTCATCTTCTGGTTGAGGCACGAAATCACCAACTTTGAGTTGCCTTCAATAGTGATTGAAAATTGATGGAATTTCAGGGCTTCTCAGGCAGCACACGCTTCAGCTTGATTAATAGTACATAATCCAATCTTGACAGTTTTGGCATCCAAGACACGACCAGATGGTTACGGGCAATAGAAGCAATAGTACAAGGACCATCTAAGATAATGAGAAGTATCAAAATTGATTTTTATGCTATCTTGCGACGGAGCAGACCATGCAATGGGCTTCCAAGTCTTGTGAAAAGATTATATGGCTGCACCTTTTTCTAATTCTAAGATTTCCATAAAAGAATGAATGGCTCGATCAAGAAATTGCTTGAGGGGGGACCACAATGTTATTAAAAATTTTCTGAATAGCCCACAAAATGAAAGAGATTTCATCTTTAACAAGGAGCTTTTTGTTTTTCTTTCTTTTTTTTTTTTTTTTTGACAGTTTGATCCAAGGGTTTGGTCACTATCCAACGGACCCTCTAACGGGTCACTAAGGATAGACCAAATTTGACAAGAAAAGGACAATATTTGAAAATATGATTTAAGTCTTTCTCCTTACCGCAAAAAGTTACAAGATCCATCAATATCAAAACCTCTTTTCCTCGGATGTATTTTTGAAGAGCTTATTTTGGAAGAGAAGGAAAAGAAAAGTTTTGATCTTTGAAGGGCTCTTAATGCTCCAAATGATGTCAAGCCAATTTGTAGAGTTATTTACCCCTATGATTGATGAACATTTCAGCAAATAGGCTGATTTAATAGTAAAAGTTCCTGTAGAGTTCTCCCATATAAATCTATCTTCAAAATGGCTAAGAGAGATAAATATGAATTTGATTTTTTCCCTAAAAACATTAGGAACAATTACTCAAACTCTAGGTTCATCCCAACACTCCCCTTCTAAGTTAATCAAATCTGAAACCATAATATTGTCAATCTCCTTGTTTTCATTTGAAAATATTTCTGATAAATGTGTTGGTAACCCATTTGTCATGCCAAAAACTAATTGTTCGGCCATTACCATCTTGGCATTTAACGTCTTTTTTCAGAAGATCTGGAATGGAGGATACCTCTCTATGCCTACAAGGTACCATTTTTTGGATTAATATCCCAAAAAGAATTTCCTTTCAACCAACTAAACATTCACATAACCAAACACCATGTAGGTTGTTCGTTGATCTAGTTTTAACGAATTTATATTAACAAATAAAAAGAACCTACGCCCTCTCTCCATTCCTGCTTCATATTACAAGGTTGGCCCAGTGTCAGAAATTTTCATCCACTGAAAGAAGCTCAGATATATAGGGGTGAAGAAACAAAAGGATGAACAGCCTGCATTAGGACTTGAGAGAAAAAATTAAACAAGAAGCCTTGATATTTATTTGGGAACCACTTCCATGGCAAACCCTTGGAACTATTTATTAACACAATCTCAAGTCCCATATCGCCTAATCCTCAGCAGCCAGCTGCGGGAGAACCATTTCCGGTAGGCAACAAAATGTCGAAAAAAGAAGAATTGGTGAAAGCTTGAACGCTAATACAGAATACAGATGCAAAATTTTGTCTGTCCTTATTAGGGCTCTCATAACCCCCACTAACCTGTATAGCCTAGTTAATTAACTATTTCTCGCTGGCAAACTTGATTCCCTTCTCAATCGACGCTTTTAGCTCAGGCTTGAGACTTTCCAGGCCTTGTTTCTCATAGTCAGAGAGGGGACCCAACCCCAGAACTTCCTCTACACCTTTCTTTCCAAGCTTCACCTGCCAAGCATTGCGACTTCCAACTTAGAAACGGAACCCAGAATAAAGCATTAACATAATACTCTAGGTCGATATATTAGCTAGACATAGAAACTTTTGCACATTACATTAAGATATCAAAATGCTCAGAGAATGGGGTGGGGAATTTCTAAATTCAAATTCTTTTGGAAATACAAATCCTATTATCAATCATTCAAATAAGATCATAGTCAGTGTTTTAAAAGGCGTGGGAGCTGTATGCTTGGAGGCACGCCTCCAGGCGAGGCGCTCCCAAAACACCCTGAGGCGTATGCCAGAGGCACTATCAATCATTCAAATAAGATCATAGCCAGTGTTTTAAAAGGTGTGGGAGCTGTACGCTTGGAGGCGCGCCTCCAGGCGAGGCGCTCCCAAAACACCCTGAGGCATATGCCAGAGGCACTGACACCTCTGAGGCGTACGCCTCATGCACATTTTTCATGACGTGTGCTACAGGCTTACGCCTCATGCACATCTTATATAAAAAAAAACAGAAAAAAAAAAAGAAAGGAAGGGAAAATAAAGGGAAGGGAAAGAAAAAGAAAGAAGAAAAAAAGAGAAAAGGAAATGGAAAGGAAGAAAAGATAAGGGGAAAGAAAGTGGTCCCCCCCCCTTTTCAACTAATGTCATGCCTCTTTATTCTTCTTAATATAAAAGATTTTTATTAAAAATAAAGAAAAAATGAAATGCCCCCTTCCTCCTCCTAATCCCCCTCCTCTTAAGGAGGCTTACGCATCTTGCGTTCTAAACTATGCCTCACGCTTCTAGGTAGTAGAACACCTCACGTCACACGCCTCCGCGTTTTAAAGCATTGACCATAGCCTGCCCCAAGTTGGCTGGACCTTTCCAGTTGTAAATTCCTTTTGTTTAGGGTTATCTTTGTTCATTTATCAAAAAATAATAATAATAATAAAGACCATTGCCACACAGTTATCTCTGAATGAATAGCACTTTGTCCATTCAAAAGAATTAAAATTGTATCTACAACACATCACCACACATGGAGCCAAATTCCAAAACATTTTTCCTACCAAATGGTCAGATCAACATTGACAAAAAGGTTTTTGCCAAAATTGCCAATAATTTTGTCGGGTGGAATGCTTAACCACTCTAATTCAACCTTTGTCATGCTATTACCACCTAATAGGGGAACCGTTAAAAAAATGAAACAATCACACAACCAACCAAAAGGAGGCTTTGCATTGAGGTAAGTAGAAAGCCCAAGGTCCTACACATTTCCCTTTCATTAATCTATTACTTCAGAGTGCTTAGAAACAATTGAACTCTTTTGAAAAGATAGTAGATGTTTACTGTAATGTAATAAAAAACAATGCAAAGAAGTTTGGTAATAATAGATGATTATGTTCATTAACGAGGACCAAAAATGTATGTTTTGTGACCTAGCATCACTATCATACGAGGGACAACAATTTTATGTATGTTATAGCTAACAATTAACAAGGGACAAGAGATGCGTGTATGTCATAGGCTCATAGCCAACAATGCAAAGATGTATAGAAGACAGTGGCCATCTAACATCACTATCATATAATGTCGTGGCAACTAAATGTATAAAATTGTTTTTTTTCTTAGCAAAAGGTAAAGCATTGTATTGTGATAGAGTGCAAACGCCATGTAAAAAAATCATGTATAGTACTTGGACATGGATACAAGGAGTCACATGACAAGACTTGAAGCAAGGTGACGGGAATACCAAATTTTTTCATGAGATGACCAATGGAAGAAGGAAAAAACCTGGTGACTAAACGTGAAGTGGGTGGTGTGGAGTTGGAATCTCAAGAGGAAATAACCAATTGTTTTGTAGCCCACTTCAAATCTATCTTAAGGAAACCTCTAGCTAGTCGAGTGGAGTTGGCTGGATTGGTTTGGCCTACACTTTCTAAAGAAATTAAATTGTGGTTGGAAAGGAATTTTGAGGAAGAAAATCCGATAAGCAATTTTTTCAATGGATAGATCTAAGGCACCAGGGCCTAATGGCTTTACTATGGCTTGCTTTCAAGACTGTAGGAACATAATTAAAAGAAACTTGCTAGAAGTTTTCAAAGAATTTTAGGAATAGTCTGTCATTAGACGTGGAGTAAATGCCACTTTCCTAGCCTTGGTCCTAAAGAAGAAAGAGGCACCCAAAGACTTTAGGCCAATCAGTTTGGTAACAACCATCTATAAAATACTAAGGTCTTATCTTTGAGGATAAAAAAGGCTCCCCCCCCCCTCATAAGTCAAGCTCAAGGTGCCTTTGTTCATGGTAGACAAATAGTTGACAAAATTTGAATAGCAAATAAAAGTGTGGAAGAGATGAGAAGATTGGATATGCAAGGTTTTGTTTGCAAATTAGATCTTGAAAAGGCCTATGATTTAGTGGATTGGTATTTTCTGCTAGAGGTTCTCAAAAATGTGGTTTTCGGGACAGATGGTGCAAGTTGATAGGTGGTTGTCTAATGTCTTGCCATTACTCAATTCTAGTAAATGGGGTAGTAAAGGACTTTTTCCCAACACGTAGGGGCTTGAGACAAAGTGATCCGTTGTCCCCTTTCCTTTTCACATTGGTTCCTGATGTTTTTAGTAGACTTGTTAGAAGTAGAGAGGGCTGGATTGAAGAAATCAAGTTCCAGTAACCCACCTTCAGTTTGCAGAAGATATCATAATTTTTTGCAAGGGATGTGATTTGTTGAGGGCAAGGAATCTGATAACTCTACTGACCCTCTTTGAGAATGTCTCAAACTAGAAAATAAATATTGAGAAGAGCTATGTGGTGGGGCTAAATGTGGAGGGAAGGGAGTTGGAGTCTATTGCTGCTTGCTTAGAATGCCCTATTTCTGCTTGGCCCTTGAGCTATCTACAACTTCCCCTAGGTGCAAACCCAAAGGAAAGTTGGTTTTGGAACCCATTGGTAGAAAAGTTTGAAAAAAGGCTGATGACCTGGAAAAAGAACAATATCTCTCTGGATCTTCTCAAATTCAATGCTCTTGCCCACTACACACCCTATAAAAAATCCATAGTTTCTGACCTTTGGAGAGCCTCCTATTCAAATTGGGCCCAATTACATTGCAATAACATGGCCTTCATCATTTCTAAACACACCTCCCATCAAAATTAAGCTTTATGAATCCCTTAACCTGTGGAAAGCAGCTTTTATGAATTATCATCTTCTGTGTAGTTTTGTATTGAGAACCCTAATTTGCCCAATATCCATCTTGTGCATCATCCCTTTGTAAAACTTCTCTAATTAATAGAATTAACCATCATTTTGCTTTAAGCCACACAAACAATCAGAGAACAAATGGCTACTGCTTTTGCAGACCCATTTACTAGTAGGATGTGGGGTGCCTTCAATCCCTGAAACAAATACTTTGCCCCCAAAAGTAAAATAAAGATCATATATCACATTTGACAAGTATGATTGTTGAATGATGAATCCTATGGCCAGTGGTCATCTTTGACAAATTAGCAGAGAACCAACACACAAATATTCTCCAATGGTATGGATAAAATTAAAATGGCTCCACACTAAAACTAGAAACAAAAAAGCACCTCAACATACATGACAGTTTTTCATGGATTACACTTAATTGTGATGACAATGAGACTGAGATTCCAAACAAAAAAGGCCATATGACATGCTAAAATAGGTTTTAGAAATCGTTTCCTTGTACCTAAAATCCTTGCAAAATAATTGGTTTAAGAGTTAAGACCAAGGTTGACATTATGTACATCAACAAATGGCTACTATGAAATCTAGAAAATGTAGAGACCAGACAACGAAGGAATTCTGATCAACTAGCAGTTACAAGCGTAACCATTACTAAGGTATTCCAACCAATAAACATGATGATGAACAACTTCAGCACAAGCTAAGCATGCACTTACTGGAAAAAGAAAGTCATCTTAATCCAAAAGCACATAAAACCACTAAATGGGTTTAATGAAAAGGAGGCAGTTACACAAATGATAAGTATACACATAATTTCTAATTCCAATTTATTTATCAATTTTACACATGCACAAATAACTAAACAATTCAAAAAAAAAACAAAAAGTTGAAAAACAGTGCCTCTGAAGTTATTAATATTGACATTAAAAGGAGAAGGATAAATGCACCACACAAAATTTTAAGGCTAAGTCAAATTCAATCACCTTAGAAGCAAAGAAAGGAAGTTCAGTGATGTTAGATTGCACAAAGGAACATTCTACAACATCTGGAACCCCATTAAGTCCCTTGAGGCAAGCATCAGCAAAAATGGCTCCAGCATAGCTGCAGAAACGTGATAGGTTAGTATCACCTGGTTTACATAATCAACTTCAGGGATCAAGAACGAAAGAAAATATAAAGCATTTGTTGCATAGTAATATAAAATCATTGAGTTATTTTACCACATAAAACAAGGTTCATTAGCCTTTGTTTTTTTGAAAAGAAAAAAGGAAAACAAGGATTTTTTTTATATAAATGAAAACAAGGGTTCTTTAACCCACTGTTTTCAAAACCGGACCGGACCAGACGGTCGGACCGGAAAAACCGGGAACCAGTCCGGTTCCCCCCAAAACCGTTGATTTTGGTCAGCAAAACACTGAACCGGCCAGTTAACTGTTCGAACCGTTCGAACGGTTTTGACCGTTTTCCAATTTTTTAAATTCTTTTATTTTTTTGTCAAAACAGGCCGGCCGTTCAGGTCGAACAGTCGGACCGTTCGAACCGGTAACCGGACCCCTGACCGGTTCGTTTTTAAAAACCATGCTTTAACCAACTGAGTTTCCCATTTAGGAGTAGAGAGAGCAACTAAAGGAGGATGGCAAAAAAATACAGTCTGGACCTCATGCAAGGAATTACTAATCGTCGCTAGTCACCAGCTTCTATAAGGGAAATCAAGACCTGATTTGGTTTGAAAACTTTTTTTATCAATAATTTGGTTTGAAAACTTTGGAAATACAAAATGAGATAAATAAGTGCACACAGTAGGCAGCTTGTACTCGTCTCGATTATGTAAAGCTCCTCTCTCTAAGGTTTATCTTACACCCCAATAGGCCTGAGTAAAAATCAATGGCTCAAATAAACGACATTGGTTGTATAGGTTAATGTTACCAAATAGCCTAAATAAGGCTCTAGTTCAACTTTTCCAACGTTAAAATTCACCTTAGGCTTAATCCTATCCGGAAGAATTTATATGTAGAACATATAAATGCAGTGATTTAAAAGGCGTGCATGAGGCGCTCAAGTGAGGCGCATTTTAGGGTAGGCGCCTCACCCAGGTCCTAGGCGCAGCCCGTTCAAAAGACGCACGCCTAGTGCGCCTAGGCGTGCGCCTTGTGCCTTAGCCCAAGTGTGCACCTTTTGAAAATTTGCCGCTTTTTCCTTTTTTTTGAGTCTGGCCGAGGGCTCCGGGGGCGGCCCTGCTCCCTCGAGGCAAGCCCAAACAAAGTCCATGTTAGGGTCTTAAATTCTTAGATTTCACACAAAAAATATAATTTTATAGTTTTAATTGCTTTTAAGAAGATATTTTATTAAGATGAATGAATGGACAACATTACCAAATAGGGGATTCTCAAAGCTTCGCTAAGAATTTAAGACCCTAACATGGACTTGTTTGGGCTTGCCTCGAGGGGTGTAGCACAAAGGCGGCTCGTAGAATTAGGAATGTAATATGTCACATTAGCTACTTGATGCAATTGAGAAAAAAATAAAAAGAGATTGTGGGTTTTATATGCTTGAAAATGTTTTATATGTTTGATTTCATTTTTAAATTCTCATTTGAATATGCTTTACATATTATATTTATGTATTTAAATTTAGATAATAGGTTTTTTAAAACATTTATTTTAAAACTTAAATTAATATTTTTATTAATATTATATTTTATAATTTTTTATTTTTTTGAATTTTTTTTTGCAATTTTTTTTTAATTTTTAGCTTTTTTTTTAAATTGTGCGCCTTGCCCCAAAAAGGCACACGCCTTGCGCCTCAGGCGCAAAATGGCCCTTGCGCCTTTTTATTAATCCAGGCAAGCTTCCAAGTTATAAGACTAGAAAACTGTTCTCAATATCCAAAACATGAAAACTTCAACACAGAAATAACCATTGAAATTCCTGTGCCCAACAGTCCAAGACTTACGCCATTGATAATGTTGCAGAACCCTTTCCAGCCTTTGCTTCCACAACCTCCGTCCCTCCATCTTGTGTTCTCTTAGTAAGAGCCTTAATCTCATCATCCGACAAGTTGTTGGATTTTGGCGTGGCCTATTAGTCATTATAAACACAAGCATAAAGATTAAGATCAGCAAGTGATTATTAATTCCTACACTTAATTTTAATGAAACATAAGGCACGGATCCAAACAGCGAAAATAGAAGTACCTGAGAGAAGAGAGGGAGAATGGTTATTCCAGCGTGACCACCAACTACAGGAACATTAACCTCTGCAGATCAGGCAAACAAAATTCATAAAAATCAAGCATAAAACGCGGCGTTTCTGCACCTGAAAACTCCTTGAGAAACTCTTTTAAAAGGAAAAGAAAAGAAAATAGAATCTTTCTGCCAAATGAAGCATACCGGCAACCGGAACCTTGGCCTTTCCGGCGTAGAAGGTTTTAGCCCTAACAACATCAAGGGTAGTCACACCAAAAAGCTTCCTCTCATCGTAAGTCCCCGCCTTTTTGAAAACCTCGGCAGCAATGGGCACCGTCGAGTTAACGGGGTTGCTAATCATGTTAACCAGTGCCTGGTTCCATCAATTTTAATTGTATTCAGAAAACCAGAGATATAAAAGCATGTTAAAATGCCTTGCAGCAAAAGGAAAGAGAAGGAAGGAAGCTTACATTAGGGCAGTACTTGGCGATAGCGGTACAGAGAGATTTGACAATGCCGGCATTAATATTGAAGAGATCATCACGGGTCATGCCGGGCTTCCTGGGAACACCGGCGGGAATGATGACAATATCAGATCCCTCCAGGGCCTGGCCGAGCTGATCTTCGCCCATGTAGCCAGCAACCTCAGATCTGGTGTTGATGTGGCTGACATCGGCGGCGACACCAGGAGTCCCGGCGATATCGTAGAGGGCGAGCTTTGAGACTAAGGGATTGAGCTTCATGAGGAGGGCGAGAGGCTGGCCGATCCCACCGGCCGCACCCAAGACGGCGACCTTGCGCTCGGGGGCCGACTCAGACGAGTAGCATCGGCGGAGGAGATGAGAAGAAGAAGGGCCTCCTCCTCTTCTAAGAGCTGCTTCCGCAACCGATCTTAGCATCGATGTCCTCATCTTCGATCTTTCCTTCTCTTCTCCTTCTGCAGAGAAAGAGACTACCGATGATACAGTGGAGAGAAAAAAGAGGGCAAAGAAAGATCCCAAAACGAGAGAATCAGGGAAAAAAAAGGGGTAGGCGCCTTTTTGTAAACAAAAAATCAATGTTGAGAGAATCGGACCGAATATAGAACCGAAAACCGAAAAGAGGAGAGGTTCACGGGTAGAGGTTCAATTTCGGATAAATTGTATAAAAAAAGCTAATATATGCATTACATATTCATAAATGAGCATAAATAAATAAATGGATTAATGATAATTAATAACTCAATATACATGAAAAAAAAAATTATGGGTTCAACTCTTATTTACATTCTGAAAAATTCTATACATTTGAGATCCGAGTGATTTTAAGAAATCGGGACCAATTCATCGGTTTTTCAATTAAATCGACGAATCATCCGGTTAGGGGTGATCATGGGCCGGGTCGGGCTTTGCACTTATGATAAGGGCTATAGTTTAGACTCGGGCCCGGCCTGGCCAAAGGTTCCAAGCCTTAAACATATGTCTTAGCCCAGGTCTACACGGGCTCAAGTCGGGTCGGTTTTGACTTTGGGCCAATATCTTTCATATATAAAATATTTTATATCTATAATATTTTATATTAAATGACATAATATGCATATAAACTTATTTTATACATTATATAATATAAATTATATATGTCAGGTTATAATATTTATATATAAAACATATAATTTAATATATATATATATATATGTATACATTATACAAAAAATGTGTAAGTTCAAATATATGCGGACTGGGTCGAGCTAGGCTTGAAGTATTAAGCCCAAGCCCAACCCTAAGATTTGCGGGCCTGATGTGTGCCCGAGCCCAGGCTGGGCCTGAACACAAAGTCCAGGCCCAAGCCCAAAATTTCCAAGCTAGTTTTGTGCAGGCCAGGTCGGGTTGAAATGATCACCCCTACATCCAGTATGTGATTGGTTCTGCTTATGTTTTCTCATTCAACGTTTTTATTTTATTTGTTGAGAAAACCGAGAAATGTAATAATTACAATCGTTTATGACAATTAGGTGCCATTAGGCTCCACATTAGCATAATAGTGAAAAAACGTCTAACTGTTTATGGAAGCTTTAAAAAATAACTTTCCCAAATGGTAGGCGTGCACAAAAACCGAAGTCCACTTTTGTCATTCTCGATGTGTATGGAAGAGTAAGAGAGAAGAACTGTTGAAGTGGCGCCTAGGTGGTACTGATTATTGAATAAACGCCCACAGAACCAAACACCCTACTAGTTTTAAGTGGTTTTCTATATAGTTCGATTTTTAAGATACAAGCAAACCGGATATAAGTCTGGTCATGACCCAACCGATTTGATTGACTGATTTGGTTTGGTTTTCTAAACATCAGAAAAAGTCAAACATATGCTCCTTAGAACCTTAGGAATATTATACAAGATTGCTCGAAAATCAAAGAGTTGCTAGGTGGAGGGGCATCAAAGAGCTGTTGGATGGAGGGGTGAGCTACAGACATGTTTACAGAGAGGCTAATCAGGTTGCAGATTGGATGGCTAATGAGGCTTAAGATAGTTTCGGTTGTTTTTTGAATCTTTGCAATCTTCTGAGTGCTTTAATATCTTCTAATAATTAAGCACATACATTGCACGTGAGTTTTTTTTTCATATTAATTATTTGAATTTTAGATATATCATAGTTGACTCCAGAACCTTACCCACATCTACCCACAACACACTACCCCTATGCATTAAGAATATCTCGTACATAAAACTATATACAGAATATGAGATGTTCTCCATATGGGACTATGATGTTATGTGTGTAGACATGGGTAGAGTTCTTGTGGGTAGGAGATTTGAACTCATCATAGTTAATATAGAAAACAAAAATTAACAAAAGTAATAATATGATTAAAAATAAACTTAAATGCTCGTAGTAAATGTGCATGTGCATTGCATGTGGAAATTTTAAATTATGATAACAATTATTATTATTATTGTTATTATAATATTTCTATTACAAATAAAAGTATTTTTTATTTAATATGATGAGTATATAACATTAGAAATGTTCCCAAATGTTATTGACACAATTCTTTACTTTATCATTTTATGTTCAATTTTTTTAAAATATTTATTATTCAATTATGACATCATGAGTTTTTTTGAAAAGTTGGACCATTTACCCACTATCTAGATAAGAAAAAGTTTTGCTTTCAGATAAGTTTTAAGTTATGTATTCCATCTACATTATATATATATAGTGTTTTATTACATTTTAAAGATTTATTATTTAACTATTCTATCATCGATTTTTCCATTTGACCCAAACCACTAACCCACCACCCAAAAAGAAAAATGTTTGATTTGTTGGGTATCATCAATTTTTATAAATTTATAACGGTATATATGTGCCCAAAATTTTATCTATTTTTTACTTTTTGTGGTTCTTTGTATTTTCTATTTTTACAAATTTTATTGTTTGACAATGACATCATCTCATTTCTATGTTGATTTTAAATTTAGCATTCCATTTTCACCATTAATAAAGATACTTATTACATTCTATATTTATTTTTGTTTTATATAATGAATATACAATATTAGAGATATGCCCAATTCATTTTATTTTTGTATTATATTTTTTTATTTTAATTTTTATTATTTAATTATGATATTATTAATTAATCCATTTAACTTCGAATGGTTGAATTGCTTACCCATAACTGGAAGGGAAGAAAATGGTTTTGTTTTCGAATTACTTTTCAAAATGTTTATTTTTATACTATTAAGATTAATTTTGTAGATTTAATTAATAGAATTTAATGATGATATAAATATATCTTAAAAATAGGATTTAATGAGAGAATATACCTTAGATATGAGACTTAATGAGAGAGAATAGGAAAATAATTTTATTTCCAATTGGTTCTAAATTTTACATTCAATTCCCATTATTAATAAAAAAACTTCTTATTTATCATACTTATTATTGTTTAATATGTTGAATATATGATGTTAAAAATGTTCCAGTTTTTAAATTTCTATATATTTTTACATTTTATCTATTTTTGAATTTTATTGTTTAATTGTGGCAACATGGATTGGCCCATTTGACCCAAAATGGTTTAATTTCTTACCTTGACCTAGATGAAAACACTATTTTTAGGTAGATTTTAAAAGTATAATTTTTTATGCTATTAGAATTATTAATTTATTATGTATGGATTTAATTAATAGAATTTAATATTGAGAAAAAAATGCCATAAATATATGATTGAATGAAGGTGAATGCAACTTAATATCTTAAATATTGGATTTAATGAAAGGGAATTGAATGCATTGAATATCTTAAAATGACCTCTTTTCAATTCATTTAATATCAATAACCAATTACCATATTTACCCTCATTTTTATCAATAAATTTAAATATATAAGGGCAGATTTTGTCCTCAAAAAATTTCAGAAATATTCTTGAGGCTATTCATGCTTTTCAAAGTAGTATAGATTTGTAAGTGTGGCTTGTGGGGACATGCTACTCCGACTTGTGTAACACCTCTTGGATTTATCAAACAAAAAGAAAAAAGTTAAAAGAAGCTAAGGCAAGGCTATAAGAAATTTTGGAGAAGTCCTACTCCTTGTCCTTTGTCCTAACAAAATTACTTTCCCATGTCTCGCGTACACACAATGGAAATATGTTGGCTCACTCCAACTGTGTAATTTGGAATGGACAATTTGGATGTTACACTAGAAACCGAATCCTCTTCATGAATACAAATTGGTAGATAGTGGCAAGGTTCAAAATTTCAACACGCCCCTATGTATCGAAACTTAAAATGGCACGCTTTTATACCTTTTTAGTTTTTTTTTTCAAAATTTTGTTTTTAAGCCTATTTTTAACTACTTTTGCATTAAACATAGGTTGATTCCCGAAAAACCTGTAAATAGATGTATCATGAAGTGCTCGATATTATACGATACGCTCGATACAGGGCATATCGTATCAAAATTTTGAACCTTGGATAGTGGGCAATCATAATAAACTAAGTGAGCTTGGTTTACTTGTTGATTATTGAACCCTTGATCCTAATTCAACTCTTATTTTTTTCAGGTTAGGTTCAGTTGGGTCTTATTTCATCACTCTATTTTTGGTTTGGGCCAGGTATTGGTCCTGACCTGATAAAGAAATGTGCAAACTATATCTTAGATGCCTTAGTAGATACATAACCAAACCAATTATTAAGTGAGACTACTTTTTTTTTTAAACACCCTTAAGCAAATCCATTCAACAAATTACTTAGTTACATTAGATTCCAGAATAGGAATCAGGAAGCCAAGAGGTAAAGACCAAGTTACAAAGGAAGAACAGGAAAGAGCATGCTTGGCAAGACAATGTGCAACTTGATTACAAGATTGAGGAACAAAAGTAACTGAGTAAGAGGGAAGGTGAAGAAGATATCTCTTGCAATTCATAATGAGAGTGTGGATACTCCATGAAGGTGTAGATGAATCCTCCAACAAGAGATGAATAACAGATTTCTCATCACCTTCAAAACTTAGGGAGGTTAAACTAAGAGAAATGGAAAATTTGATGTTGTAGTAAGCAAAGCCAAAGAAGCTTCCAAGGGAATAGCATGAGTAAAGAGAAAAACACCATTTACATCCCAAATCACAATACCAGCTCCTTTGGAGCATTATATGAAATTGCTCCAATAAGATTTTTGAATCTGAGTCATAGCAGCAGCATGAGATGCTTGAGGAGCATAGATTTGGGAAGCAGCTTATCCATTGGGTGTGAGATTTGTGGAGACTTGATTTTGAAAAATGAGAACATTACAGGCAAGCTATATGTGCCACATTATAACGAAGAATTTGGTGCATAGAGGGAGGTGGTTGTCATTGGAATCCTAATGTCGAGAAATCCATTCATTAACACTTTGATGAGGATAGGAGTCAGGCCTGAATGTGAGGTCCAATCCAAACCACACTAAGTGAGTAGTTGGACAATGTAGGAATAGATGCTCCTTGGTCTCCTCTAATTGCTCACAAAATGGGCATAAGGTGTCAATATTGCCGCAAAGCCTTACTA